GTAAATCCTGATTTAATAAATCACGAGGGTACTAAATCCTAAAAACTTTTTGGTAACAAATATTAAATTTTGATAAATCCTAAGAAACTGTTTGGCAACATAATTCAAGATTTAAGGTGATTTGATAATTTAAAAATTAAAATTAATTTATTTTGAATGTAATATGCATGATTTTTTGATAATTAGATAATTAGTAATATAATAGATAATTTGATAATTAAAATCTAAGTAATATAATAAATTAATTTAATGATAATTATACAACTAATAACTAATTATGTAATTAGAGTCTTAACTTCTAATAATTGTATTAAATCAATTTAATGATAATTATACAACTAATAACTATAATAACTAACAAATTACCAATATTAATTAAACTAATGTAAAGACATTAGACTACTAATAATTTAATTAAACTAAGTTATATTACTTAATTTTACTACTAATTATTTAACTAGTCTACTAATTATTAATGTTTAAATTATATTAATAGTGTTACTTTAGATTATTTTATAATCTAGGGCTTGCCTACTTCTCTTCTCCTCGTCGCCATTTCTTCGTGGCTGCTTCAGTCGTGTCTTGTGTGTGCTTAGCATGAGGAGTGCTAATTTAAATGGAATGGAGAAGAATGTAGAGGTAGATTTTAATGATTCACTTTATAACTTCTTCCTTTGACGATGTTCCTTCATATCATATGTAAAACTACACGTCCTCGTCGTATTCTGTTGGATTAGAAGTAACGACGACTACGTGAGTTTGCTCTTGCTCGTTGCCAAGATTGCCATCTTTCTTTCTTTCGAGCAAATCTTCGGCCAAATCCTGTTAAATCCGCCGAACGACGGGATTTAGATTTAGATTTATTTACTTAGACTTACGTCGTTAATCTGAGATTTACGGATTTAAGATGGTTAGATTTACACGACCTCAAAAAATAGTTTGGCTGGATTTACATTAAATCCTGCTTAAAATCGCGAGTTAAATCCAATACCTAAGAAACATCTAAAGTTGCTTTAAGAAATAATAAGAAAGCCGTCTCAAAGAAAGCTTAACGGGTTGTTTGGCAAAAGTAGGATTTAACTTTAGTATGATTTAGTAAATCCTCGTAAATCAATGATTTAATAAATCCCGAGTATGTTAAATCTTGAAACTGCTTAACAAAATAGTTGTTAAAATCATATTAAATCCTATGAAATTGTTTGACAACTTAATTTAGGATTTAAGATGGTTGGTACTTTCAAAAATTAAATTTATGTGTTATAAATTTAATTACATGTTAAGTATAAGTTATTTATTAATTTAAATTTAATTATAGAGTTTAACAACAATTATAATGATAAATAATTTAATTAGAAATTAGTTTAATTATTAAATAATGTAATTAATAATTATAGTATTATTGATTAAATTACTTATTTATGTGTTAATTTAATAATATTTGATAATTACATGAATAATTATATAATAATTAGTTATTTTTAAATAACTAATTATTAACTAATACTATTGCTGATGATTTAATTAATTTAAGTTATTAATTATTAGTTTTAATTATTCATTATATTTTTTATTATCTCATAATTCATTTAAATATTCTCTTAATAATTAATTATTTAATTATTATTTATAATATATATAATAATTATTCTATTTATAATTATATTTAATCCTACAGTTATTTTGAAATAACTAATTATTTAACTAATAATTTATTAAATTATTTAAGTATTATTTTGTTAGTTTTAATTATATTTATTATTAATTATTTCATTAATCACTTAAAATCACTCCTCTTAATTTATTTATATTATTATTCACTATATTAATTATATGCTTAATAGTTTCTATTTTAAAATATATTAATCAAGCTGGTTATATTAAATTTTAATTACTGATTATATCACTAACTATTTAATTAAGTTAAATTAATAATTATTGTGCATATATCTTTATTAATTTACTATATTATTAATTTTATTACCCATTTCACCTCTAATTATAATATTTAAATTATATTAAGTTACCCAGTATTGGGCGTCTAGGGTTTGCTTTTAGTCTTCCATTTTTCGTCGTTGCTGTTCGGCTTCGTTGCGCAGGAGGTGTAGTGATTGCACGAGTCGCTTCGTCGGCTCCTTCGTTGCTGTTCGACTTCGCTTCTTCGACGACGTACCCTTCCTGTCAGATCGGACGTTACAGCATTTTGATCGGAATAAACGACGGTAGCTCGCTCGCAGTGAAGGTAACTTTCTCCCTTTCGCGCGCTCAAATCCCGTTTGGCAGGATTTAGCATAAATTCTGCTAAAATCCTGCACAAATCCTGTTGCCAAACAGTCCCTGAGGCTGCAATAAATTTTTTTTGCCTCATTTCTACTGTTTCGCAGCTATTGCGCTCCACTGTTTGTGATCGATGGCCAGGCCATGGAACGCTCAGAATACGCCAGTCGACGTATCTCAGCTTATCGAGCAGCTTGAGCGCCATTGCCTTGCCCCCGATGGATCCTACCTCTCCAAATCCGCATATTCGGAACTCCATCTTGTAACGCCCTTCATCTCTGTTACAGAATTGTTGAAGGAAATCCAAAATTTGGATTCCATTTTTGGTTTAATTGTTTGATCTTTGTTGGTTTCTTTTGCTAAAATGGAAGGCAAGGGAGGAGATGTCCAAAGAGAGGTTGCGTTATTTGGAAGCCTTAGTACGTATACCAATATTTATCTAATTAGGGTTTCATATTTATTTCTTTTGCTAAACTGTCATGATGCAGTTTATTTTGGATGAAAAAAATGAAACTTTTTATGAAATTATCTTGAAATGGAAATATGGCCTGATTTAATTTCTTCATTTTTTTTGTTTCCAATGGGGTTTGTTCTTGGGTGCTTGCAGGCTGTCTACGGAGAGGCAATAGGAATGGTTGAGGAGTATCAACAAGCGATTTCTGCTGCTAATCATGGGGGAGTAAGAGATCATCAGCCTCTATATCCACATTTTGGGTTGACTTGTTCTCCTCAGGTTCTGGTTTTCTTACCTTTGATATTATGCATTTGATAGCTAGAGGATTTCTGTCAGATATGCTTGTTTTTAATTATTTGTTCTTAATATCAAAACTGTTTTTTGCATGGCTTAGAAATTTTTAGGTCTTTTAAATTCCTTGTGGTTTTATTGGCATGCTTTGGCTATTGTGGGAGGTTTATTGGCATGCTTTGGCTATTATGGGAGGTGAGTGATAATCTATATCATCAAAGCGTTATTTTTTTTTTTTTTTAATTTGTTGTTTTGAAACTATCACATTTAATGGAGTAAAGATTTTGATGATAGATAAACTGTTAGTTACCCCACCATATTAAACACTTGTATTACTTCTATATTTATGGAGTTTTGACTGATGAAGTTTGGAAGGTAAACATAGGTGAGTGGAGAAGGAGATTAAATTGAGTTATTTTATGCATGTGGCTCTAAATCAATCTCAAGATAAATGGTATGACAATTTTTTTCTTAGTTCAGCAGAAAGAATAAATAAATTGAGTGCTCTGCTTTAAATGAAGAACAAATATTCTCCACCATACTTCAGATTTTCCAAAGCAGGCTAAACCCCATTCTTCTTCTTTCATTATGTGTAATTATTAGAGTTTGTTTTATGGTAGGCACACGTGGGAAAGTGGTGGTTGAAATGTGTGTTTTTAAGATAAATAAGAATTTGTACATGCTCAACAACAACACCAACAACATCAAGCCTTTGTCCCACTACGTGGGGTCGGCTACATGAATACTTTTTCGCCATTGTGTCATGTTAAAAGTCAAATTCTCATTTAAATCTAATAAAGAAATATCATTTCTAATAGAATTTGTACATGCTCAAGAAAAAAAAATCACCTAAAACAGTATGTGAGCATGACTAAGGTTGCCAAGTAATATAAATTCAGGGTAAAAAAGAGACGAGTATTTATTCATTCTCCTCAATCAAGCTTACATCCACTCCCCAAGCTCTTCATTGAGAGTTTATCCTTTAATTCTTGGATTATGTACATACAAAGAACATATCACACATTTCTCCCTTCTTTCAAGCCATGGAATCAACTTGCAACCATTTGCATGAGCTGAGTATAAACCTAAAACTCAATGTTTCCATTCTTAAGGAAGAATCTCTTACATAAATAACTTTAGTGGATATGGTATTGGAAGAAATAGAAGGAAATGCATTGTATTAAGAAAGAGTGATAAAATGAGTAGCACTATACATACTAAGCCGCCTAGCTAAAATAATTCTCAAGAGAAAGACTTGAAAACTGATTTGCAGATATGAAATGAAACCTTGAACTAGAAACCATCATACAAAACTTCCAAAATAGTGGGCCATGAAGCTCAAGTGCACTTATTTAAAGCTTTGGCAAGTTTAAGGACAAAGTTTCCTGCAAAATTTTTAAGAAAAGGGTATTGTGCAAGAGAAATAATTGACCATTGTTGTCTACTCTAAAAGATTATTTAGGCCCAGCTGGGTGAGTATATGTAGAATAAGACTTGCACGTGTTGGCCAAGGAGAGAGGATATTTAGGATTTCATGCTTGGTCAAATTAGAAAGATTGAAGCTCTTATATTTTTATTAGTGTGCAAGGTGATGAATAGGAGTATGAAGATGTGGATGAGGGATGGAGGATAGGGAGCCAGACCCAAGGTCAACAAGTTCTTTTTCAAAAGTTGGGATTTCATGAGAGGGGTGAGCTCTGTTGTGACACTAGTTATTCCCAAGTAGGAATATTTGATGCAAATGACTGTAGATCTATAAGGGATGAATGGACAGAATAGACTAATACATTTACAAAATAGCAATCATTTATAAATTCTTCCCATTCTCTTTTTATCTATGTTATTTGCGGTGTGTTAAATTCAAAACAATATTTGATTTCCATATTATTTTGACTTGTCATGATCCATGCCATTATTGCATTTTTATATTTTTCTTTCTTCAAATTCATCATGACTTCCTTTTAACCAGCTTACCTTAACAAGCTAATGAATTAACCTTTAAATAGAATAAGGTGTCTCATCCTTTTAGAATCAAAGGGCAATAGGACCCGCATATAAGGTGAAATTTGTAGATTATAATAATTTGAAATAATGATTCCCATCCCTCTTAGTTTTTTGCTTCAAAGAAAGCACAAGAAAACATGGCACTTGATTGCAAACAAAAAGTATTTGGTTAGAAATTTATATAATTTTTTATTTTAGCATATATTTAGTTGCTAGCATATTTAGGATATTGCTATAACAATTTGATGTTATCATTAGGTGTGAGAATTATGCATATATTTAAGTTTGCTTAATTATGTGATTTTTAACCATGTGGCACCATTTTTTGAGTATGATAAGTAAATACCAATTTATGTAATTTTTTGGGATTAAATTTTCAAATGAGAAAATGAACAAAATGGTCCATTTACTCTTTATGAAAGATCAAAATAATCTCTATTTATATTAAATGACCATTTTGATATTTCAACTTCTTAAAGATGAATCAAAGATTCAAAATTGTCACACCATGAGACTATTTTGATTTTTTTTTTACAAACTTGAGGAACCACAATAATCATTTAATATAGTTGAGTAACATTTTGGTCTTTTATAAAGAGTCAAGGGATAATTTTGGTCTTTTATAAAGAGTCAAGGGATAATTTTGGTCTTCTCATTTCAGAACAATCCCACGATTATTCGTATATTATCATTTTAGTCTCAGAATATAATGTTACTCTCGGTTATTCCCTCGAATATACAAAAATTGATCTAAAATTGTTCCTTTGGGACTAAATTGTGATCAACTTTGTAAAATTGAAAGAGTAAATTGGGACAACATGATACTCTAAGACTAGATTAGTCATGCATAAATATTTTGTTGACTACTTTGTGATTTTTCTAAATTGTTTTCTTTATTAATTGTTCTTGAAGAAATTACTTGCTTGATGTTGTCGTTATTTTATCACAAATTCATTTCTAGAATTTTGTTTCAAAAGCTTAAAGGTGGATGCAACTTCATATGTATAAAAGTTCTAATGATAGGATATGAATGTACACAAATAAATTTCTTGTAGATTTGCAACGCTAATTTGGGCCCTAAAACTTCAATTAATGTCATCAAAGTTTGCTTTTATTTTGAAATGCCTATGAGCAAGATAGGCATTGTTGATATATATCTAGACAAGCAATCATTTTTATGGCCAATATAATATAGATTCCTAACAGAAATTTGAGGAACATAACCAATGGCAGAGTTTTTGGTTTTTTGTTTTATCAAATGTTAATTTCTTGCAACATAAAAATGCATTCTGATGATTTAGTCATTTAGTTTTGAATAGTATCATTAGCATTTGTATCACAAGAAACATCCCATTAATCTATTAGGCTGGAGGGATGCCTATGTTGCTTGTTATTTGGGAAGGATAAAGTCAAAGGCATTGATGGAACTCACATATGGGGGAGACATTATTTGGGTACTCAATTCATTCAAGTTAACAAAATCACCTATTTTTTCCAGTATATTAATACAAATCCAAATTGATTGTACTTATAAAGCTATTTTGTCAAGAAGTTAAATGCCACACAATGGATAATTCTAGTCAAGCTGGTTGTGATAAAGCCACTGATGATGTTGAATGCTAACTTATGTTTGACTATACAAGATTATTATGGAATTTTCTTAGATATGTTTATTTCCATTCTGAAATATGGGATTTTCAGTTGATCTAGAGCAACCCAAACATCTTATCAACTGAAGACTAAATTTTGTTTTATTCCTTATGATAATATTCTGGGCTTAGGAGTTTGAGGGTCAGCTTATTAATTTACCTTGGGAAATAGGTATTGCATCAAGTTTGGCTCTCATGTACTGATGTGGGATAGGAGGATGATTTCCATAGAACTTTCCTCTAAAAAAACATATATTAACAATTTATATTTTCCAAAGACAAAAACTATGTGCAACCTTGATTCTTGAAATACCATTAGGGTTAGGAGCTTGGATATTTTTTATAGGATTTAAAGGTAGATCTTTACAAGACTAATCAAAATATGTTCTCTCTTGCAATAATTTTACCAAGTAAGACTACTTAAGGAAATTGTGTGTACCAGAGATATGAACACTTTTTAGATGATTGAATAAAGCAAGGATAGAGATTGTATTTTAACACTTCTTAAAAGGAGTCCTCCCTTTGAGTTGTCTTGCTTAGACCGCCTTCTCATGTTCTTTGCTTTTTGTATCTTTTTCTGTCCTTGTCTTTACTGCTTTTGGTTGCCTCTTCTTTTCTCTCCTCTTCTCACTCCCAATTAGACTCTCTCCTTTTATTAGATAGCAGGAAATTGGAAATAGAGAGGACACTTAAAACTGTGAGAGGTGGAAGATCCCCTGATCTATTTGGATGGTGAGGACCCTAAGATTGGTTTTTAGAGAACGAGATAAGGGGGGAGAGAGAGAGGATGTTGCCATTGTTATTGATTCAATGTTTGACTGATTGAAAAATCTAGTGCAACATAATTTTATATGAAAACAACTACTATTTAAAATAATGCTAAAGTTGAAGCGAATGATCAAACTTACATCCCCCTATGCGGCTCCCTTGTCATTCAAGCCAGATAAAGCAATGAGTCAGAGGAGGAACATGAAAAAATTCCAAAACAAAAACTACTCATCTAGCGCCTTGTGAAAGCCCTCGGTAGGTAGTTCTTCCTCCTAAGCTACAAGCGGGAGACCGCCAGGCGCCAGGGAACTCATATCGAAAAAAACTTAAGTAGGATAACATCTAATTACCCATTCAAGGTAATCTGCTTTAAATCAAAACTCCATCATGAAAAGAGTTACTAAGCCTTCTTATTAAATTTGAACTAGATAAAGTTTACTCTTATCATTTTCGATGGATCATTCTCTCTCCTTGAAAACATTGGCCGGCTAATGGCTATCCTTGAGATTTTGATTTGGATTTATATTGATGAATTTTTATTCTTTATCTGATCTTTGGATGTAGCCTTTGATATAGCTTTGAATGTCTTGTAATTTCTTGTGTCATCTTGTGCACTTATGCACTCAGGCTTATTGTGCATGTATAAATTTAAATTCATGCTTATGATTGGAGCATTCATTCAAGCTTGTTTAATCAAGAAGCTGTGAGTTTGTCCTTTCGGTTCTCCATCTTGGTCCACCTATGAAACATATCATTTGGTTAGCCAAGCCCAATCTGTGAATTGCTTCTTTGTTCATGTTCTGTGTGGCATTCCTATCTAGATATTTAGTTTTTTTCCTTAGCTGTAGAATGACTTGAAACTGCATGCAACTGCTTTCTACTTTGTTTTTGCCTACTGTTTAGGTTCTGGACGATTTACTAGAATGAAATTTGTTACTTGGAACAAATCTTCAAATACTTTATTTGACATATCTTGTTGTTCCAGGTTTATGAGTCTCTTGAGCATCAATTAGCTGTTGCTGAGGCAGCTCAGAGATTGAGGCTTCCACTTCTCTCTAAAGATGGAGACGTTCGCAAGGAAGATATAGAGAAGTGGAATACAATGTCCAGGAGCTCTCTTGATAGTTCAAGTAGTATGACACTCAGCTCAAGCTCAATTACAACCGGATACAATAATAATTATGTAGATAACAGTAATATTTCACGAACTGTTGGTCCACCTAGTATTTTTGATAATGTGGAGCTTGGAGTTGGTGGAGTACCTAATCGCTTCCTAGGAATAACGCCAAGTTTTCTATGGCAAGTCCAACCACAGCAAACTAGCATGATGGTGGTATGCTCTCTCTCTCTCTCTCTCTCTCTCTCTCTCTCTAATGGGCCTAAATATCCATTCGATTGATGCATTAGTTCCTAAGTAGTAAGATGATGTTATCTCCGTTTTGCTAGAACTCGGCAGAGTATCAGAGGTCCATTGTGCTAGAGATCGAGTCTCGACTAGAAGCTAAGTGTGATACTTTGGCTGATATTTTTACAATGGATGAAATTGGTATGGACTAAAATTCTGTTGCAAATCTGAATGAATAAACATTCATTGGCTTGTAATGCTTCAAGCCTATTATTTATTTGTCAGATTCTTCTTCCATAAGTCAGATTTCAGGTGCCCGGCTCCCAGAAAGGTGAAATTTGTATCATAGTATTATTATTATTATTTTCAATGGAAATTGAGAATTATTATTTGTTTGGTATGCACAAACAATTTAAATATAATCCCGTGCATATGTGAAGTCCTATTTTGACATGCAAAAAACCTCGCAGACTGTTGGCGCTCTTTGGTTGATAAGAACAAGCTGTCAGTGTTTTGTGTTACGCTAGAATTCTTATTTGATAGTATAATTTGTTTTTGGACCGGAATTCAGATATTTCTTGTTTGATGTTTTAAAAATCTTAGGCAATGATACTATCAGATTAATGTTCATGACTTTTACCATCACATGCAGTGTATTTTGGTCTTCATTGTACAGCTTCTTACCATGTTTAGTTTTTAACATTGTGTTCAGGGTGAAGTTGATCATTGAGGAGATTGAAAGAGAGGAAGCTCTTTTGCTGGAAGATCTTTACTCCATGGATAGAAAGTTTGCAGAACACTTCAATGTACATTCTTGAAACATTCTTTTTATTGATTCTTTTCCACTTTTGACATCTTGCTGTATTTATGATTTTTTCCTTAGTAAAAATGCTCGATTATCTTCTCTCTTTTTTTTTTTCTTTTTTTTTTTTCAATTTTTCTTGCTACATTACTAATCCTTGATATAAGCAGGTCATAGACCAAATACTAGAGGTACTTATTAAGTTTATAATGGACCTAAAGTTGCAGCATCAACATTGAATAAAGCAAGGATAGAGATTGTATTTTAACCATTCTTAAAAGGGGTCCTCCCTTTGAGTTGTCTTGCTTAGACCGCCTTATCATGTTCCTTGCTTTTTGTATCTTTTTATGTCCGTGTCTTTACTGCTTTTGGTTGCCTCTTCTTTTCTACCCTCTTCTCACTCCCAATTAGACTCCCTCCTTTTATTAGATGGCAGGAGATTGGAAATAGAGAGGACACTTAAAAAGTGTGAGAGGGGGAAGATCCCCTTGATCTATTTGGATAGTGAGGACCCTAAGATTGGTTTTTAGAGAACGAGATAAGGGGGGAGAGAGAGGATGTTTCCATTGTTATGGATTCAATGTTTGACTGATTGAAAAATCTAGTGCAACGTAATTTTAATATGAAAATAACTCCTATTTAAAATAATAGAAGTAAGTAGGTAACATCTAATTTACCCCTTCAAGGTACTCTGTTTTAAATCAAAACTCTATGAAAAAAGTTACTAAGCCTTCTTATTAAAATTGAACTAGATAAGTTTACTCTTATCATCTTTCGATGGATCATTCTCTCTCCTAGAAAACATTTGTCGGCTATCCTTGAGATTTTGATTTGGATTTATATAGATGAATTTTTATTCTTTATCTGATATTTGGATGTAGCCTTTGATGTAGCTTTGAAGGTCTTGTAAGTTCTTGTGTCATCTTATGCACCTATACACTCAGGCTTGTGCATGTATAAATTTAAATTCATGCTTACGATTGGATCACTCATTAAAGCTTGTTTAATCAAGAAGCTGTGAGTTTGTCCTTTCAGTGCACCATCTTGGTCCACCAATGAAACAGATCATTTGGTTAGCCAAGCCCAATCCCGTAGCTGTAGAATGACTTGAAACTGCATGCAACTGCTTCCTACTCTGTTTTTGTCTACTGCTAAGTTCTGAACGATTTACTAGAATGAAATTTGTTAGTTGGAACAATTTTTGAGATGCTTTATTTGACATATCTTGCTGTTCCAGGTTTATGAGTCTCTTGAGCATCAATTAGCCGCTGCTGAGGCAGCTCAGAGATTGAGGCTTCCACTTCTCTCTAAAGATGGAGACGTTCGCAAGGAAGATATAGAGAAGTGGAATACAATGTCCAGGAGCTCTCTTGATAGTGCAAGTAGTATGACACTCAGCTCAAGCTCAATTACAACCGGATACAATAATAATTATGTAGATAACAGTAATGTTTCACGAATTGTTGGTCCACCTCCAAGTATTTTTGATAATGTGGAGCTTGGAGTTGGTGGAGTACCTAATCGCTTCCTTGGAATAACTCCAAGTTTTCTATGGCAAGTCCAACCACAGCAAACTAGCATGATGGTGGTATGTTTTCTATATATATATTAATGTAATTTTAATGGGCCTAAATGTTCCAAATCCATTCGATTGATGCATTAGTTCCTAAGTAGTAAGATGATGTTATCTCCGTTTTGCTAGAACTCCGCAGAGTATCAGAGGTCCGTTTTGCTAGAGATCGAGTCTCGACTAGAAGCTAAGTGTGATACTTTGGCTGATATTTTTACAATGGATGAAATTGGTATGGACTAAAATTCTGTGGCAAATCTGAATGAATAAACATTCATTGGCTTGTAATGCTTCAAGCCTATTATTTATTTGTCAGATTCTTCTTCCATAAGTCAGATTTCAGGTGCCCGGCTCCCAGAAAGGTGAAATTTGTATCATAATATTATTTTTTTTTTTCAATGGAAATTGAGAATTATTATTTGTTCGGTATGCAAAAACAGTTTAAATATAATTCCGTGCATATGTGAAGTCCTATTTTGACATGCAAAAAACGAGCTGTCAGTATTTTGTGTTACGCCATAATTCTTATTTGATAGTATCATTTGTTTTTGGACCAGAATTCAGATATTTATTGCTTGATATTTTTAAAATCTTAGGCAATGTAACAACTGTTACATCAAATTAATGTAGATGACCTTTAACATCACATGCACTTTATTTTGGTTTTCATTGTACTGCTTCTTACCATGTGTAGTTTTTCACATTGTCTTCAGGGTTAAGTTGATCATTGAGGAGATTGAAAGAGAGGAAGCTCTTTTGCTAGAGGATCTTTACTCCATGGATAGAAAGTTTGCAGAACACTTCAATGTACAGTCTTGAAACATTTCTTTTTATTGGTTCTTTTCCACTTTTGACATCTTGCTGTATTGCTGATTATTTCCGTAGTAAAATGCTCGATTATCTTCTCTCTCTCTCTTTTTTTTTTTTCAATTTTTCTTGCTACATTACTAATCCTTGATATAAGCAGGTCATAGACCAAATACTAGAGGTACTTATTAAGTTTATAATGGACCTAAAGTTGCAGCATCAACATGAATTTGTAAGTCTTGAAGCTTGTTTATTTCTTTGAATATTTCAAGTTATATATTTGCATTCTAATCTTACAATGTATGCATTAAATCTTGTCTAGCTTTTTCTTGTAACTCCTTTTCTAATCCTTCTCATTTGGCCGTGGAATAGGATGAATTGAGGAAAACTTGGCTTTGTAAAAGATGCCAAACAATGAATGCCAAATTGAGGTTAGCGCTTTGTACAATATGGTCTGGTGGATTGATTTTCCATTATTCAGTTATTTAGCACATATCTATTCAAATAGAAATTACATTTTTTTTTAAATGCCTAATACTTCATTAATTAGATTTACTTATTTTCTAGTCTCATCTGGTAATTATTCATAGGGTTCTAGAGCATCTTCTCTTGCGTGATACTTATACAAAGGAGTCTGTGCCAGCTCTTCACAGGATTCGGTAAAGCTGATGATAATTTTCATCACTCGAAATTTTAATGACTATTAAATTCAGTCATCATTTTTTCATCCCTTGCAGAAAGTATCTTGTTGAGGCAACTGAAGAAGCATCAATTGCTTATAATAAAGCGGTATGATTTCTTTATTTGATAAGTTTGTCTTTGTAAGATTTCATGCATTTCAGAGTCATATAAATGCCATAAGCTAATTGCTGATGATAATTTTCATCACATGAAATTTTAATGACTATTAAATTCAGTCATCATTTTTTTCATCCCTTGCAGAAAGTATCTTGTTGAGGCAACTGAAGAAGCATCAATTGCTTATAATAAAGCGGTATGGTTTCTTTATTTGATAAGTTTGTCTTTGTAAGATTTCATGCATTTCAGAATCATATAAATGCCATAAGCTGATTGCTTTAATGCTTCCATCCAATGGACACAAGGGAACCAGCTTATACTTATAATCTCAAGGAAAATTACAAGGAGTCAGCATTAAAAAATGTTGAATTTTGGGACCATGTCCATGCCATCTTATGAAACTAATTAGTCTTTATTTCATGTTGTATTATTGAACAAGCTAGTACCAATAGATGATATCCATTAATGGCCATTGGATCAGACCTACTTATGCTACTAATTTTTCTCATATAGAGCCTATGAGCCACCTTTCTTTCTTTTACACAATAAACTCTAGGTCTATTTCACATTTCATGCAACCTGTAAAGTGTAGGAAGGGTGTTAATATATTTGAGCTCAAGAAAGCAAGTCTGAACTCTAAGGCTTCGTTTGGGATGACTATCTTTCTGTTTTTTAAAGCAGTTTTTTATTATAAAAATTAAAAATTTTGTATTAAAAAGCTGCTTTATGAAGCAGTAAAAAAGTTGTCCCAAACGAAACCTAAATCGAAGTGTTCTATTTTGATTTATGTTGAAAGTAATCAATTTTGAGTAAGCTTTTGAGTTGCTTTAAGCAGGTATGATAATATCATACTTGTGGTGTAGTCTGCTCTGATTAGACTGCTGTTGATCAGTTGTTTGCTTGTTTTTCTCTGTTTCTCATATTCTCCTCTTATTAGGTTACACGTCTAAGGGAATATCAAGGTGTAGATCCATACTTCGATTCAATTGCAAGACAGTACAATGATATTGTAAAGGTATATTTATACTCTCAATTAAGGTTTCGTTTGGAATGGTTTTCTTACTGCTTCTTAAAGCAGCTTTTTAATGCAAAAATTTAATTTTTTGTACTAGAAAGCTGCTTTAAGAAGCAGTAATAAAGTTGTCCCAAATAAAACCTATGTGTCTTTTAATCATGTCTACTTTCTCTTGATCTTCATTGATTGAATAATTTACAGAAACTTGAGGGCATGCAATGGACAATTCACCAAGTTGAAATGGATCTAAAGCGCTCACTTGATCAATCAGCCCCATAAATCTGCTTTTAGTTTTTGATTAAAATGTTGAGAAGTTTACCTTTTTAAAGAAGAAAGGATAGGTGGCTGCATCTATTTGGACATCTAAGCTAGCTGATGGATTTGAACATCTGGAAGAAGTGGAAGTTGAAGCAACGGCTCTCATCAAAAAATCTTGTTGTCATTGCAGCAATAGCTACAATTTAAACTCATTAATTTGAGAGTTTCAATCCTGCATTACTACTCTTGATTGTTGCGTTAAGAACTTAGTTAAAAATCATCCAAATGAGAACGTCATTACAATCCTGTTAATATATATTTATGATATGTATCGTAAATTTTAGGGAAAGTTGATTCATTGCGTCACAATATTATTTAATATTAAATTAAATTAAATTAAAGATGGGAGTCATTAACAAATGATTTGCTTGATTGAAAAGCTTTTCTAAACAAAAAGATTGAGAATAAATGAGTTGAGTCGAATTTATGTCATACATAATTCAAATCTAGTCTTTTTGAAAATTGGTAGGAAATTCCTGTTTTTAATTTTTGGTTCTGAATAATAAAACTGTCTTTTGCATGGTTTAGAAATGTTTAGGGCTTTTAAATTCATTGTACTTTTATTCACATACCTATTGTGGGAGGTGAGTGATAATCTATAGGGGTGTTAACATTTGACATGACCGGAAAACCTAAGTTGAACTTGATTCGAAAATTTCGAGCTACGATCAATCTGTTTTGCAAATGGCTTGGGTTTAGGTTCTCATATTCGATTCGTTTGGAAAAACGGGTTGAGTTCAAGTTGGTCAGGAAATTTGAACTCAACCTGGGTTAACCCAGGAAAATTGCACGTGCTTCATGCTCGTGTTGACATGGCCCGTCCCATCCACGCCGACACGTCCTGTATCATCGAGTGGTCGCTGTTCATCTGTAGTCGGATAAGAAGCGACGACCACTGCTGCCTTTTGAGTGGCTGCTTGACCATTGCCGCCATCGAGTGGCTATCATTTCATCTATAGTTGAATCGATAGCAACGGTGATGATGTGTCAACCTTCTCATTCATATGCAGTTGGATCAGAAGCAACTATGTCGAATGGCCAACGGCAGGGAGCCTGTAATTTTGCTTTTGTTGTTGGATCAGAAGCAATGACGACGATATGAAGGAGCTTGATGTCCGTTCGCTCATGGCTCAACACCTCAACCACTCAAAATGGGTCCGTGGGTCGGGTCAAGTCTACACAGTAACCCAGTTGAATTAGGTTCAGGTTAAAATACCTGACCCGCTTGCAAAAATAGGCCGAGTTCTAGTTGATTTAACTTGTCTAGGGCCAATTTCGGGTTGGACCTAAACACGTAATCATCTAAATTCAGATTTAGTAAAACAGGTTTTGACAATCCTCATAATCTATATCATCAAACTGCTATATTTATTTATTTTTTGATTTTTTATTTTGAAACTCGTATTTAGAGGCTAATTGGTATTAGATTGGATTTAACTTTAATGGGATTTAGTAAATCATGCAAATCAAGATTTAGTAATTTCTTATGGTGTTACATATTGAAAACTGTTTGGTATGACAAATATTAAATCTTGATAAATTCAAATAAACTGTTTGGGAACATAATTCAAAATTTAAGGTGGTTTGTTCATTTGGAAATTAAAATTAATTTAGTTTGAATGTAATATGCATGACTATTTGATAATTAACACTTAGATTTAGCTAATTAATAATATAATAAAATAATTTTGAATAATTTAGAACTTAAAATATAATATAATAATTAAATTTAATGAATAATTATTACAACTGATAACTAAATTAATCTAATTATATTACTACTTATCTAATTATGCAATTAAAGTTTTAACTTCTAATTGTATTAAACTATTTAATGACAATTATATATACTCAATAACTATAAAAACTCAACAAAGCTATCGATATTAATTAAACTAATGTAATGACATTAGACTCTCAATTAATTTAATTAAACTAGTTGTATTACTATACTTTACTATAATTATTTAAATTAATATAAACTAATTATTAATGTTTAAATAAATTAATAGTGTTACTTTAGATTATTCTTATTAATCTACTACGGGTTTTGCCTACCTCGCTTCTCCTCGTTTGCCATTTCTTCATGGCTGCTTCGTTGTGTGGAGCAACCGAGAAGAACTAAAGATAGTTTTCAATGATTCACTTAATAACTTCTTACTTCGACAATGTTCCTTCATATCAGATCTGAAACCACGCCTCCTCGCCATTCTCTATTTAATGACGACAACGGGAGCTTGCTCTTGCTTGTTGCCATGGTAGCCATCTTTCTTTTTTTCGCGCGCTTCTTCGGCCAAATCCTATTAAATCCGTTGAACAACGAGATTTAGATTTAGGGGGTATTTGGTATCGGATTTGACATCAATTTTAAGTAGGATTTAACGTAAATCCAGCCAAACAGATTTCCGCATGACTGTAAATCCCGCCAATCCGTAAATCTGGGATTTACAAATTTATGGCATAAATTCCAGTAAATCCTGATAAAATCCTAATCCCATATTTTTGTTGATTTAATGTGATTTACGGCTGCTCGAAGTTCCTTCCCGCAGCGCCTGTGTCATGAAGCTCGCGCGAACTTTTTACCCACAAATGCTTTCGTCAGATTTATGGGATTTGGCCAAAGAAGCGCGTGAAAGGGAGAACGTTACCTTCACAGCTAGACAGCTCCAGTTGTTGCCTCCGATCAAAATGTCATAACTTCCGATTAGACATGAAGGGAAAATCGTTGAAGGAGCGAAGTCGAACAGCCACGAAGGAGCCGAAGAAGCGACGCGTGCAATCTCTGCACCTTCTGCAAAGCAACAAAGCCCGCACAACAACAATGAAAAGAGAAGATGAAAGGCAAACCCTAGACTCCTCTAAGTTATTATTGATTAACTTAATTAATATAATTTAAAATATAAATAATTTAATAAATTAATTAAATAATTAATAGTAT